GAGACGCAGAGCTTTGGGCTCTGCCTCGTGCTCACGGTGGCCTCGAACTTCGTCCACGACGCCGACTACGCGAACGGCCGCAGCCGCCCCTCCCTGGGGGGGTGGATAGAGGTTTGAGGATCGAGGTTTGAGGATCGAGGCTTGAGGATCGAGGAGCAAACAGAGGTTTGAGGATCGATGTTCGAGTAGGAGGAGGAGGACGAGGAGGAGGAGGAGGCCCAGTGTAAACCCAAAACTCATCGACGGTGTTGTAATACACCATCCCTCCAAGTTCCCTCTTCATAGGCTCCCACAAGAGTTCGTTTTCATTGATTGAAATTCATCGTTGGAAGAAATCGTTTGAAAATCTGGAGCTGTACCTGAACACCATTCCTGGGACGTGAACGCAGCGAATCACCGTTCTTGCTGCGTCCCGACGGTCGTGAATCGTGCCAGAACGCCATTGCTGGGACGCCAACACCGCGAACCAATGCGACTGTGGCGCCCTGACATTACGACATCTTGCCGAAACGCCGTTTTTGGGACGTTAACCATGAGAGTCTTTGATCATGCATATGTGTATATACAGTTCAGTATGCGCCACATTTTGAAATAGAGCCGCCCTCCGTCCGTGAAACTTTTGTAAGACGTTATAACGAATGTGCTCTGCACTACGGCGAGAGTCATATTTAGAAAACGGCCTGCCCTCAATATGTGAATCTCCTGCAAACTTTTGAGACGAATGTGGGTGGCGATCAGGCGATAACTACATGTTGAAAACGACCCGCCATCCATCCGTGAAATTTTTGCAAACTTTTCAGACGAATGTGCGCGGTGCTGGACCGAGAGTAAAACGTTGACCCGCCCTCCATCCGTGAAACTGTTTCAAATCTTAAGAACGAATGTGCGCGGTGCTACAGCGAAAACCACATTTTGAAAGCCACCCGCCCTCCACCTGTGAGCCTGTTGCAACATTTTCAACGGCAGGATCATAAATGGTGAGGAGGTCCCAAGCGAAACGCCAGGCCCGCCCTTTCGACCGGCCTCGGGGTGCGACAAGGAGGAGTTATGTATAAGGAAGGGGGATGGAGGAGGAGCAGGGGGAGTACTTTCGAGGGTCGAGCCTTCTCAATGCTTGTGCCCTTGTGTGAGTACGTGGATTCGTCGGGAGGTCCTTGGGCTTCGGAAAGCTTCAGGAGGCTTCTGGAGAGCTAGTGGAGGCTTCTGAGGTTTTTAGGAGGCTCCTGGGAGGTCCCGAAGCGGTCTGGTGACTGATCGGGGTGAAACGGAGCCGACATCCGTAGTGTAGCTGCTGGACATGTTCAGCTTTGTTCACTCAAACAGTGCTTGCACTCAGGGGTTTCATTTTCTTATTGAGGAACTGGGCCTGTTTGCCGCTTTCGCGGCTATGTAGCCGCCGTCGGTGCCTCTTCGCCGCCTAGGCGCCGCCTCGCATATATTCTTCTTTTGAAAAAGAAGGTTCTACCACCCTTTGCTCCCCGGACTTATCGTTTGACTAGGAGCCTAGGTAAAACACATGATTCTGACCCAATGTACATCCTACCCGTGAATTCATATTATCCCAACCAGGCCGGTATCGGTCCCCCCTCGGTTCCCTGGCAATAGTTACTATGCGCGCGCAGTCGCTCATCAAAAATCTAAAGTTTTCCTTCAAGAACCCCTTGCAAAAAACCGGACGAAGTGCACACGCGCGCGTCGTCGCGCGCGCATTCCGAAATCCTTCAACAACTTTTGGTTTCGGAAAGATTTCAAAATCGAGCGTCCCCAAAACATTTCTCAAGAAAACCAGGCGTTTTCCATTATTTTCATATAATATTACCAAACGGGCTTCGCGCGCGCATGTCAAAATCGATCGAACGCCCTTGCGCGCGTGCTGGGGTTGCACGACCCGTGTCAAATAATGCCATGCGAGCCACTCTCGTGCGTTTGCCGCGCGCGGATTTCGAATTCCTTCCAAAAACTTCATCACCGACGCGAAGACGCCGTCATCGTCGTCGGCGTGATCAGCATCGGCGCCGTCACTTGCTGCCCCGCCGTCGCTGTCAGCGTCGTCGCCAGCATCGCTACTATCATCATCGTGTCTACCGTTGTCGACGTAGCCAGTATACCGCGCCTGCCTAAGTCGCCGACTCGTACTGAAATGCCCGTTGGGATGTGCCGAGCGGTCAGCGCCACCGCGCTCGCGTAGGTTGCGCCAAACTAGCTGGCCGCTGTGATCGCGAGCTTGTGCGGGCTAGCGCGGCCGCAGAGATGCACCAGCCAAACCCAGCACTCATCGCAATCGCTCCCGCATGGATTTTGCAAGCGAAGTTGCGGGTGGGTGGGTGGGATGATTGCGCGAGCAGTGGAGTTGACAACTTCAAGTTCGGCAAGTGGATTGCACGGTGCAGACTGCACCGCGTCGATTGCATCATTTAGATTCTCCTGGCTTACAAGAAAACAGATTTTGCCACCCCGATTATCGGTACCCCTCTTCGTATTGCAAGTTGCAAAGGATTCTGCCCCGTCGTCCGTTCTAACCATGAGTTCGTACCATCCCAGGCCAAACGGTCTCGACACCACCCGTCATCCGGTTTCAGAACAACCGCGCGCGCACTCGTTTCTAAACAATCATATGTTTTCAGGAACCCCTTGCAACAAACAAGCAATACAACAACAAACAACGAAGTGCACACTCGCGCGACGTCGCGCGCGCATGCCGCAATCCCTCAAACACCAGGTGTTGCGTAAGGATTTCAAAACCGAGCGTCCAAAACATATGCAAGAACACGTGGCGTCGTAACGCAAATTTTCAAACAAAACTTGCGCGCGCTTTCTTGCGAATTCTTTTAAACACGCAGTTTATTTTCCATGAAGTTCCACCAAGCGGGCTTCGCGCGTGCATGCCGAAATCGTTCGAACGCCCTTGCGCACGTGCTGTCGCGAGAGTCCTTTTCACATAACGTGACGAAAGGCATGCGCGCGCGGCGTCGCGCGCATGCCAAAATCATTCAAACCCTTGGGCTAGGAGTTCGAAGTCGAATGTCCCAAAAACATATAGAAACTCATTGTTTCACAACATCACTTCTCAAAACAACCTGCGCTCGCGCTCTTGTATCCCCTGAAGAAAACCATAGGTTTTTTTCCCGCATACCGAAGTCATTCGGACGCCCTTGCGCGCGTGCTGGGTGTGTGTGTGTGTGCGAATCGTGTCAAATAGTACCATGCAGGACACTCGCGCGTCGGCTGCGCGCGCATGTCGAATTCCTGCCAAAACCTTCATCGCCGACGCGAGGACGCCGTCATCGTCGTCGGCCTGATCAGCATCGGCGCCGTCACTGGCCGCGTTGTCGCCGCTGTCATTATCGTCGCTAGCACCGCTATTATCATCATCGTGTCTACCGTTGTTGACAATGCCATGCTGCCGCGCCTGCCCAATTTGCCGAATCGCACTGAAGTGCCCGCTGGGATGCGCCTAGCGGTCAGCGCCACCGCGGCCGCGTCGGTCGCGCCAAACTATTTGGCCGCTGCGCGCGCATGCGCGGACTGGCGCGGCCGAAGAGATGCACCAGCCAACACCAAGCACTCATCGCAATCGCCGCCGCATGGGTTTTGCAAACCCAGTTGCGGGTGGCTGAGTGGGATGATTGCGCCAGCAGTGGAACAACTGATTGCGAACCGAAATTCGTTCTCCTTCCTAGAAAAAGAATAGACCCCCCCAGCGTTATCGGTACCCCTTTCGGGTATGTAAATCATATATGATTATGACCACATGTCCATCCTAAATATGAATTTGCACTATCCCAGGAGGGCCGGTATCCCCCCCCTGAGGTTCCATTGTAAAACAACACTATGGAGTGACATTTTTGGTTCTAACATAACATTTTTTCAGGAATCCTTGCCCAAAAATGGGACGAAGTGCGCACGCGCGCGTCGTCGCGCGCGCATGCCGAAATCCTTCAAAAACCTTCGGTGCCGGAAGGAATTCGCAATCGAGTTTCCAAAACACATACAAAAACACATGGTTTCGCAACAGTGATTTGCTAAAAAAGCTTCCGGGCGAACTTTTGCGAAATCTTAAGAAAACCATGGGTTTTTCAAGATTTTCGCAAAATGCTATGAAACGGTCTTCGCGCGCGCGCATGTTGAAATCTGTCGAACGCCCTTGCGCGTGTGCCGTCGCGAGAATCCCCTGCAAAAAATGTGACGAAGTGCAGACGCACGCGTCGTCGCGCGCGTATGCCGAAATCCTTCAAAACCCATCGGTTTCGGAAAGATTTCAAAATCGCGTGTCCAAAAAACCTTCAAATTCACAAGGTTTCGCACCACGGATTTTCAACAAAAGCGTGCGCGCGCGCTCTTGCGTCGTCGGCGTCTTCCTTCCTCCCTCGTCGCTGTCGTCGTCGGCGTCGCCGTCCTTCCTCCTTCTTCGTCGTTCGCGTCGTCGCCGTCCTCCCTCCTCCCTCGTCGTTGTCGTCGTTGTCGTCGTTGTCGTCGTTGACGCCGTCGTCGTCCTCCCTCCCCCCTCGTCGTCGTCTTCGCTGGCGACGTCGTTGTCGTCGTCGTCGTCGGTGTCTTCGTCGTCGTCGTCGTCGTCGTCGTCGTCGTCGTCGGCGTCGTCGTCGTCGTCGTCGTCGTCGTCGTCGTTGTCATCGTCGTCGTCGTCGTCGCCGTCGTCGTCGTCGTCGGTGTCGTCGTCGTCGTCGTGGTCGCTGTCGTCGTCGAAGTCGTTGGAGACGTCGTCGGTCGTCGTCGTCGGTGTCGGCGGCGCCGTCGTCGTTGTCGCTGTCGTCGTCGGCGTCGGTGTCGTGGCCAAGTGCCATCTGGTACCTACCGTCACGGTCTTGTCTTAAGAGGTCTTGCGATCAAGTTGCGGGTGGGAGGGTGGGATGTTTGCACGAGCAGTGGAAAGGACAGCTTCAAGACGGTCAAAGTGACTTGCACCGCGTAGAGTCCACCGCATTGCTTGCACCACATGGATTCAACCATGTATATAAATAGGGCGCACAACAGGCCGCACCAAATAGATTGCACCACGTAGATTGCACAAACTATGTCGCACCACATAGATTCTCCGTTCTAAAAAGAGAATAGACTCTACCCCCCCCAGACTTAACGCTTCCCCCTGGGATAGTATACTTTCACATATATATATATATATATATATATATATATTCAGCACACTCGTCCATCCTGAATATGAAATCGTATCATCCCAGCCAAACCGGTATCCCCCCCCTGAGGTTCCCTTGTGAAAAACACAATGCGGTGACCTTTTTCGTTCTAACATAGCACTTTTTCGCTAATCCCTTGCAAAAAAAGGGACGAAGTGCGCACGCGCGCGTCGTCGCGCGCGCATGCCGAAAGCCTTCAAAAACCTTCGGTGCCGGAAGGATTTCGCAATCGAGTTTCCAAAAAACATACAAAACACACAGGGTTTCGCAACACGGATTTGCTAAAAAAGCTTCCGCGCCAGCTCTTGCGAAATCTTAACAAAACCATAGGTTTTTCAAGATTTTCGCACAATTCTGCCAAACGGGCTTCGCGCGCGCGCATATCGAAATCTGTTGAACGCCCTTGCGCGTGTGCCGTCGCGAGAATCCTCTGCAAAAAATGGGACGAAGTGCAGACGCGCGCGTCGTCGCGCGCGTATGCCGCAACCCTTCAAAACCCATCGGTTTCGGAAGGATTTCAAAATCGTGCGTCCAAAAAACCTACACATACCCAAGGTTTCGCACCACGGATTTTCAACAAAAGCGTGCGCGCGCGCTCTTTCGTCGTCGTCGTCGTCGTCGTCGTCGCCGTCCTCCCTCCTCCCGCGTCGTCGTCGTCGTCGTCGTCGTCGCCTACGTCGTCCTCTGTCTTTTCTCGTGTTCGTCGTCGTCGTCCTCTTTGGCGTCGTGGTCGGTTCCGTCGTCGTTGTCGCCGTGGTCGTCCTTCCTCCTCTTTCCACGTCGTCGTCGTTGTCCGTCGTCGGCGTCTCGTCGTCGTCCCTCCTATTTCGTCGCCGTCGTCGTCGTCGTCGTTGTCGTCGTCGTCTTCCCTCCTCCCTCGTCGTTGCCGTCGTCGGCGTCGCCGTCCTTCCTCCTTCGTCATCGTTCGCGTCGTCGCCGTCCTCCCTCCTCCCTCGTCGTTGTCGTCGTTGTCGTCGTTGTCGCCTGTCGTCGTCCTTCCTCCTCCCTCGTCGTCGCCTTCGTTGGCGTCGTCGTCGTCGTCTTCGTCGTCGTCGGCGTCGGCGTCGGTGTCGTCGTCGAAGTCGTCGGAGACGTCGTCGTCGTCGTCCTAGTGGTTGTCGTCGGTGTCGTCGTAGTCGGTCTTAACAGGTTTTGCAAACCAAGTTGCGGGTGGGTGGGTGGGATGTTTGCGCGAGCAGTGGAGAGGACAGCTTCAAGACAGTCAAAGTGGTTTGCACCACATAGACTGCATCGCAGGATCCTCCTTTCTAAAAAGAGAATAGACTCTACCCCCCCCGGCGTTATCGCCCCCCCTTTTCGGGTAGGTGAATCACATATGATTCTGACCACATGTCCATCCTAAATATGAAATCACAATGTCCCAGGCCAACCGGTATCCCCCCGAACACTGCAGATCTTGTGAATCAATTCCGGCCACTGTGCTGATCTGTCGCTGCCGAGGGGCCGACGTCTCTGTCTTCTGGTTTGTTTTGGCTTGTGTTGGGGACCTGGTCCCGCGGTCTCCTTCTCCCTCCTTCCTCCCCCCCTCCTCCTCCGCCTCCTCTTCTTCCTCCTCCTCTTTCTCCTCCTCCTCCTCCTCCTCCTCCTCCTCGCGGTCCCTCATGGGCGGCTCCCGGCCCCCACGCCGTGCGTCTCTCTGCCGCGGCGCTGCGCGCGTGGCCGAGGCGCCAGAAAGTAGGTGTATGTGTATCTCGTCTCGTCCGCGTGTCCTCCCTCTGCCCACCTGTGTGTGCTCCTGCCCGCGTGTACGGTCAGAGGGAGAGGGAGAGAGAGAGAGAGAGAGAGAGAGAGAGAAAACACGAAGAGAAAGAGGGAGAGAGAGAGAGAGAGAAACAAAAAAAAACAGAGAAAGAGAGAGAGGGGGAGGAGTGGGGAGGTTTGAAGTAGAGGGAGATGCGGGTGGGGCGCGGGCGGGAAGAGCATCCACCCTCCTCTCTTAGCATGAAGGGGAGGCCTTCGGTCGCGATTTTTTCCCGGAACGCGAGGATCGGCGGCGAGCCCAAGGGGGGAAGTGGGAGGGGGCGGGCCCTCTCAGAAGGCAGGGAGGAGGAGGAGGAGGGTGAGGAGGAGGAGGAGGAGGAGGAGGAGGAGGAGGGAGGAGGAGGAGGAGGAGGAGGAGGGAGGGAGGAGGGAGGAGGAGGAGGAGGGAGGGGGAGGAGGAGGGAGGAGGGAGGAGGAGGGAGGGAGGAGGGAGGAGGGGAGGAGGGAGGAGGAGGAGCGCCCGGGCGCGGCAGGCGTCCGGCTCGGCTTCGGCCTGCAGAAGACCAAGCTCGAGGCCGGGCGGCGCGCGCCGGGAGCCCCCTCTTGGGTTCGGCAGCAGGGCGTGCTAAGCCTGCCCGTTTGGGCCTCCCCCCCCCCTCCTCCCTCCTCCTCCCTCCTCCCTCCTCCTCCTCCTCCCTCCTCTCTCCTCCTTCTCCTCCTCCTCCTCCCCTCCTCCTCCTCCTCCTCCTCCTCCTCCTCCTCCTCCTCCTCCTCCTCCTTCTCCTCCTCCTCCTCCTCCTCCTCCTCCTCCTCCTCCTCCTCCTCCTCTCGCGCGGTCCACCAACACGGAACAGTAAGCAGCAAGAAACATAATTGTAGCAGTGGACGCTGGAAGCTGCAGCTGGTGCAGGAGACTGCGAACCTTCGGCCTACAGCCTAGTGGCCCCACAAGGGGGCCGGCGGATTTATCGTTCCTCAGGTCAGGCCGATGATTGTAGCTGGCCGTTTGGATGATAAGCTCTTTCATGTCCGTCTCTCGCGTTGCACATTGTTCATCTCTAATTCTTCGAATGGTCTGTTTTTTTTGAAGGCCAGGATCCTTTCATTTCTAATTGTGCTATCCTGGTAAGCCTTTTCATGTCCGTCTTTAGCGTTAGCGTCGATTTAGCGTCGGCTCGCGTCGATTAGCGTCGATTGAGCGTCGATTGCAGTCGGCCCGGACTAGTGGGTCGAACCTGCCAAATCAAGGGTACCTTTGTGTCCTGTGTCTCGCGACCCATGCCTCCTGCATTCCTATGGCAATGTGGCCCTCTTTCCGTCCTTAGCGTTGCACATTGTGCATTTCTAGCTCTTCGAAAATTCTTGGGTCTTTGGGGGGGGGGGGGCAGGATCCTTTCGTTTCTACTTGTTCTATCCTGGGCCTCTTCCTGGCCACTAGGGGGCCAGGAAGAATTAGAAATGAGCACAACTAGAAATGAGCACGATTAGAAATGAACGACGTGTAGCGTCGATTTGGCGTCGGTTCGCGTCGATTGAGCGTCGGTTGGCGTCGATCCGCAAGAGCCGACAAGATGCTGTGGGAGGCCTCTATGAGTTGCCACCAAAGAGGTTCTTCGAGGGTCGAGGATCGAGGTTCCTCGAGGGTCGAGGCTCGAGGGATCGAGGTCCCTCGATGATCGAGGTTCCTCGAGGGTAGAGGCCACGGCCTGCGAGGATCGAGGCTCCCCGAGGGTCGAGGCTCGGGGAGCAGAGTCTCCTTGCAGGGTCGAGGCCCGAGGGGCAACGGTTTTCCAGGAGGAGGAGGAGGAGGAGGAGGAGGAGGAGGAGGAGGAGGAGGAGGAGGAGGAGAAGGGTGAGGAGGAGGAGGAGGAGGGGAGGAGGAGGAGGAAGAGGAGGAGGAGGAGGAGGGAAGGAGGAGGAGGAGGAGGGAGGAGGAGGAGGAGGAGAAGGGGGAGGAGGAGGAGGAGGAGGAGGAAGAGGAGGAGGAGGAGGAGAAGGAGGGGGAGAAATGAGGAGGAAAAGGCCTTCTCAGACGGCGGCGGAACTTCTCGGAAGCCCTCGCGCCTTCTGAGGAGCTGGTCCTTTGTCTTCGAGGCAGGCTTCGGGAACTTCTCAGAAGGTCGGGGAGCTTCCGAGCCTTCTGAGAAGGCCCGCCCCTCCTCGCTTCCCCCCCTCCGGCGCGCCGCTGGGCAGCTCCTTGGGGAGCGACGTGCGCACGGCGGGCCTTCGCTCGCGTGGCGGCGTCCGGGCCCGCTCTCGGCCGCCCTCGGCGGTCGAGCGCCCGCGCCCGTCGTCGTGGTCGCGTCGTCGTGGTCGTCGTCGTCGTCGTCGTGGTGGTGGTCGTCGTCGTCGTCGTCGTCGCCTTCAACCACCCGTGGCTCGGAGGCCGTTGGCTCAGACGGCGCTGACCCTTTAAGCTTCACGGGAGATCCCGAGCCGCTCTGCTGCTCAGCATTGGCGCCGTTGTCTTGCGCGCGCATTCGTTTGCCTCCGTGTCGGCGTAGCACGGGTGAGCGACGCAAAAGAACCTGCATCGTCTGCACCGACATTGGCGCGTAAGTTGCCCGCGTAAGGTCGCGCGTAAGCGCCCTCGTCTTCAATGTGGCGTGCCGCGCCGGCGGCCCGCGTAAGCCTCGGCGTAAGGTCGCTATGTCGCCTCGTGAAAGACCCGTATTTGATTGTCGCTCAGGTGTGCTTGGTAGCAAGTCCTGGGACCTGTGTAGGTTCTCGCAATTCCGTCTCTAGAGTGCGCTAGCGTCTGGTAGTCACACATGAAAGCGCCGACTTAGCGCCGATTAGCGTCGATTTAGCATCGGTTCGCGTCGACTAGCTTCGATTAGCGTCGATTTAGCGTCGGTCGGCGTCCATTTGCAAGAGCCAGCAAGATGGCATGGGAGGCTCCCATGGGTTGCCACCGAAGAGGATCGAGGCTCGATGAGCAAAGGTTTCGAGGACCGATGCTCGACGTTCGAGGTTCGGAGGTCGAGGTCTTTCGAGGGCCGAGGTTTTCATGCTCAGAGGCTTCCGAGGCTCGAGGTTCGCGGATCGATGGCTCCGAGGACCCAGGCCCGAGGATTCTTTCTTCGAGCACCGAGGCTCGCGCTAACCGAGGCCTTCGTGGATCGAGGCTCCCAGGTCGGAGTTCTCTTGGGCCGACTCGAGGATCGGAGTTTCCGCACAGCTTCGTCGCCTCCCCCTCCTCCTCCTCCTCCTCCTCCTCCTCCTCCTCTTCCTCCTCCTCCTCCTCCTCCGCCTCCGCCTCCCCCTCCCCCTCCTCCTCCTCTTCGTCCTCCCCTTCCTGCTCCTCCTCATTTTCCACGTTCTCCTCCTCCTCCTCCTCCTTCCTCCTCTTCTCCTCCTCGCCCTCCTCCTCCTCCTCCTCCTTCTCCTCCTCCTCCTCCTCCTTCTCTTCCTCCTGATCCTCCTCAAAACGGGGCTCTCGCCGCAGCACCGCCTCCTCCGCCTCCTGAGGAGGAGGAGGCGGAGTAGGAGGCCGAGGAGAAGGCGCAGGAGGAGGCGGAGGCGGAGGAGGCGGAGGCGGAGGCGGAGGCTGAGGCGGATGAGGCGGCGGAGGCGGAGGAGGCGGAGGAGGCGGAGTAGACGGAGGAGGCGGATGAGCCTGAGGAGGCGGAGGAGGCAGAGGAGGAGGAGGCTGAGGAGGAGGAGGAGGAGGAGGAGGAGGAGCAGGAGGCGGAGGAGGAGGAGGAGGAGAAGGAGGAGGAGGAAGAGGAGAAAGAGGAGGATGATGATGATGATGATGAGGAGGAGGAGGAGGAGAAGGAGCAGGAGGAGGAGAAGGAGGAGGATGGGGAGGAGGAGGAGGCAGGGGGGGTAGTAGGGAACGAGGAGGAGGAACAGGATGATGTGGATGCTGCTGATGATGCTGCTGTTGCTGCTGCTGCTGCTGACGATGATGATGATGATGATGATGATGATGATGAGGATGATGATGATGATGATGATGATGATGATGATGATGATGATGCTGATGATGATGATGATGAGGTTGATGCTGCTGGTGATGATTATGATGATGCTGATTATGAGGATGATGAAGGTAATGAGGATGATGATGAGGATGAGGATGCGGCTGCTGTTGCTGATGATGATTCTGATTTTGCTGAGGAGGAGGAGGAGGGGCGGAGGAGGAGGAGGAGGAGGGACCGAGGAGGAGGCAGAGGAGGATGAGGATGCTGCTGATGATGACGAGGATGATGCTGATGCTGATGCTGATGATGCTGATGCTGCTGATGCTGACGATGACGCTGCTACTGATGATGATTCGGATGATCATGACGATGATGCTGAAGATGCTGATGCTGATGTTGATGATGATGGTGACGATGATGTTGATGATGCTGATGACGTTCATGATGCTGATGCTGATTATGATGATGTTGTGGTTGCTGCTGCTGCTGTTGATGCTTATGATGATGATGATGATGCTGATGATGATGATGATGATGATGATGATGATGATGGTGAGGATGATGATGATGATGATGAGGATGAGGATGGGGATGGGGATGCTGATGCTGATGCTGCTGCTGATGATGATGGTGATGATGCTGCTGCTGATGATGATGATGATGCTGAGGATGAGGATGAGGAGGAGGAGGAGGAGGCGGAGGAGGCGGAGGCGGAGTAGACGGAGGAGGCGGATGAGGCGGAGGAGGAGGAGGAGGCGGAGGAAGAGGAGGAGGCGGCGGAGGAGGAGGAGGAGGAGGCGGAGGCGGAGGAGGAGGAGGAGACGGAGGAGGCGGAGGAAGAGGAGAGCGAGGAGGATGATGATGATGATGAGAAGGAGGAGGAGGAGGAGGAGGGGGGGAGAAGGAGGAGGAGGATGGGAGGAGGAGGGAACGGTGAGAAGGAAGAGGCTGATGATGATGATGCTGGTGCTGATACTGCTGCTGCTGCTGCTGCTGATGATGATGAGGATGATGATGATGCTGATGATGCGGATGCTGATGATGATGATGAGGATGCTGATGCTGATGATGCTGATGATGATGTTGATGATGATGCTTATGCTGACGATGATGGTGCTGATGATGAGGATGAGGCTTACGATGATGATGATGATGATGATGATGATGATGATGCTGATGATGCTGATGATGATGATGATGCTGTTGATGCTGATGATGCTGGCGATGATGATGGTGCTGATGATGCGGCTGCTGATGATGATGATGCCATTGATGCTGCTGACGCTGCTGATGTTGATGATGATGTTGTTGCTGATGGTGATGATGATGCTGCTGATGATGATGATGATGCTGCTGAGGATGCTGATGGTGATGATGATGATGATGATGCTGATGATGATGATGGTGACGATGATGATGATGATGCTGCTGATGCTGATGATGCCGATGCTGCTGCTGATGACGACGATGATGCTGATGATGATGATGATGCTGATGCTGATGATGCTGATGATGATGATGATGCTGATGCTGATGCTGATGATGATGCTGATGATGATGAGGATGATGATGATGATGATGATGATGATGATGCTGATGATGATGATGATGCTGAGGATGATGAGGATGGGGATGATGATGCTGA